TTACAATCTTAATCTAAAAAATATTTTTTAACTAAATATATTAAATTAATTTTTATTCAATCCTAATTTCAACTATAATTTTAATCAAACATATATTTTTTTAAACTAATCTTAACTAAAAATAATTTTTAAAAAATAATTTTTTTAAATTATAATCATATATCAACTAACATAGTACTAAACAAACTCAATTACTGTGGTTTCATTCAAATTTTAATTTCCAGTAACTTTTTTGTCCTTTATCTCTCTCTTCGTAGCCAAAAACATCTATAATAATACTGTATCACCTTTTTCTCTCTTTGTACCTGTGACAACTCTTTATTTTTGGGCTTAAGCTTAAAAGGTCATCATTGATTATCTTCCCCATCCACATTATATCAAATATTTTCTTTAATTAATTTGATTTGATTTATATTTAATTATTGTTAATTTAATTGTATTGAATGTTAGGGTTTTAAATTAAAAATAAAATTAATTAGATATAATTTAAGTTATTAATTAGATATTATAATTAGGTTATTCTATTAAATAATCAATTATTTTAGGTTGTTGTTCATGAATTAATAAAATTATAAGTTTAAATAGTTAGTGTTAGTTTAGATTAAATTATGAATTTGGTTAATTATATATATTTTAAGTTGATGATTATGTTATTTTGTTAAATACTCAATGCGTTTTTTCTTGTTATCGATTATGAATTAATAAAATTATAAGTTGAAAGAGATACCATTGATATGTTAAATTATAAATTATACAAAATTACATATAAAATATATAATAATACTGTCTATAAAATACATGAATTTAATAAAAAATCTCATAGTATGCCTGGCAACCACTCAATAACATCGCCACAAAACTAATCTGTTGCAGTAATTCTCGTAATGTGGCCGACCATGATTCTGACAGATCCAAAATGTCCCTGTCTTCTACATCATCTCATTCTGATAGTTATGTTGCGCTCTTGTCTCCTACACCTGCACCAACTGTTCCATGTAAGATCAATGGAGTAGAAATGCCTGCCTCCTCCAACAGTGTGTTGTCTCAGGTGTCAATGGGATGCTTGGATACTCTTCCATAGAAGATTTGGGAAAATCTGAATGGAAAACATTGATTTGTCTGCGATAAGCTTGATGAAAGTTGTGTCATTATTGACAAGAGCTTTTGCTATGAAGTCTCTCATATAAATTGTGGACTCCGATTATGAAAGAAGAAAATCCAAGTTGCTTTCTCTTCGAAAAAGAGGTTAACCAAGGAATATGAGCTGCTAGCAATTTGGTTCGGGGATTTTGATATCCATGGTATAGTGCGGCACGAGTTATCATTTGGTACCGCCATTACCTTGGATCTCGATCCAGAGACTAATTGCAGACAAACCTTGAATGTGAGCTCCTGTAAACAAATTGTTAAAGACGTAGACGAACATAACTGGGCTGATTGGCAGCCGGCCCCTTTGTACAGGTGAATTATCAAGTTGAAGATAATGCCACGATTTGTGAATGTAGCAGAAGATGAGTACTATCCAATCTCATCTACAGTTTCTATACTAATCAAGTTGCTGTGAAATTGCAGTATCTTTCGTAGTAAAACAAATTTCAAAGTATCAATTTGGGATATTTGTAAAAACAAAAAAAAATTTACCAATCAAATTCCATCATATATCATTTTTATTTTATTTTTATATAAAAATTAAAATAAATAATATGAAAAATAAATTAACCTTAAAAAAAATTTCTTGACCAATAAAAATTGACACATGAAAAAAATATTTAAAATATCTTTTCATATTATAAAATCTCATGCATATAAATCAACTAATAAAATAATAATAAGCGATATAGTAAAATGACTTAAGAGACTTTACAAGCTCTATAAATAAATATTCTTAACCTGAAAAACTAATTCTTAGATATATATAATTTTTTTTTTAAGATAAGTTCTTTAAATAAGAAATTCCTCTCAAAAGCCATCAAAGTCTCATTCATTTACGTTTAAAGACTATAATAAATTAAGCTCTGTTGCATCAAATATAAACATTCTATAAGAGTTTTTTAATAATATTTTGAAGACAAATTAAAAATACTCTTCAAATAATCAAATCTTGTTTTGAAATACATGTTTAAATTCATGTTCTTATAGAATATAAATTATAGCTTGATTTCACAAATAAATCAAGTTATATTAAATTCAAGAAAAGAATTAGATGATTTTTTATAAGAATATTTTAAATAAAAATTATACTCAATAATATGTTTTAATAATATTAAATATTTATACATATTTATTTATTTAATTTCTGGTGATCAAAATCATATCTACAGTTATATAATAAATCTCCTCCTCATATGAAAGTTCTATTCACATTCAAACTCCTCTAATAAGAGCATCTTTAACATTCCAAATGTAATTGTAGCCATCTAAGCATTACAATGTCATCCAGAGCTCACCACTTATCAAAGAGCCTATGTCTACCTTCTGCTTCCAACGCTAAAGTCATGTCTTACTATTCCTCGAGCCACATTTATACCACTATCCATTTAAGATCCCATTTAGTCCTTCACTTTTATCATGTATGCAACAAGCATGAAACCCAATTCACACTATGTCCACACTCATTCTATTCAATATTATGTCATTAGCTAAAGCGGTTGGTCTCATGAAAGGAAAAACTTCTTAATAAAGCGGGAAGAGAAAGACCTGTGTTAGCTGAGTTATCTCTGCAATTCTTATTTATCCAAAGCAGAATTATTGGCTCCTGTAGAGTGTTTGTGTTGGCATTAACAAAGTGGAAAGGAACTTTATTTGGGGAAATACAGATTCTGATCGTGGTATTCATTAGGTGAAATGGGACTCTATCGCTTGGTGTGAGGGATTCAAGATCATTGACAAATATGGCATTACTTGGGAATCAAGCTTGGCATATTTTTAATAGTCCTCATAAATCTAGGGTTTCAATTTAGAGGCATGCATATTTACTAAAACAAATCCTCTTCCAGTTGACTATTACTCCTCAACTTGCCTCATATACTTGTCGTTCTATATTGCAGGCATTCCAATAACTAAGACATGGATTTATGTACAGAGTTGGAAAGGGCGATATTTGACCTGTGGCTTGAGGAAGGTTGTCTTGGTTCGCTTATTGATGTAGTGAATATCATAGATAGAGATTTATATGTGGAGGATATCTGGCGTGAAGGCTCCTGGGTTTTTGATATATTGACTACAGTTATTCCATATCATATCAAACTTAGAATTATATCCACACCTTCTCTCAAAATGCTACTTGAGCTGATAGGGTTTGCTGGGCATGAAATCTATTAGGTATATATGATTCTAAATTAGCGTATCTTTGGTTTCTTACAATGGAGAAAGAGGTTTCTTACAATGGAGAAAGAGTTATGCTCTGATAGTTGTTGGAATTGGATATGGAAGCTGCAAGTACCAAAAAAGATTAATTTCTTTATCTGGCTAATCTTTCATAATGTCTTGCCAATGTTGAGGTAAACTCAATCTAGAAGGTCAAGGAAGGTAATTACCAGCTGTTACCGCCCAGCCGCCAGCCATTAGCAGCTAGTCGCTTTCACACCGTCGGCCACAACCGCTTTCACACTTCAAGGTTGAATTTTCTTATTTTGAATTCGTGTATAAATAGGTAGCAGAGTTTATGTTATTATATGTGGAGAGATTTGAGAGAAACATAGAGAGAAAGAGAGAGGGTGTGTATTCAAAGCTTTTATTTAATTCTTATAAGCTTTTGTTCTTGAAATAAAGAGTGTGTTTTATCCCCTCTGAGTGTTTCAAAACCACCACTAGTGGTTTCTCCCACCAACAATTGGTATCAGAGCCCCGTCCGTTAGAAAACAGAGGTATTTTGGGATATACCTGAATTTTCAAAGTTGTCAAAAACAAGTTTTGATTATTCCACAGTGTAGAGCTCATCCATACGAACTCACTGGTGTAAAAATTAGCCTCATCAGAGTCCGAGGTAGCCCACACGCGCCGCCTAAAGATTCTGCACAGAAGCCCACGCGCGCCAGAGGTTAAGACGACTGAGCCACACGTACGCCATATTCAAGCCGAGTTGAGCTGCAAAGCTGATCATCAGCCGAGCCATGAGCCGAGCTGACAGAATATTCCCGGTTCAACCCAGCGAATCGCCCGACGTATAGAATTGGTTTTTTGACTGGTTCACCCCATTTCTGACCCATTTTCTACAAAGTCAAACCATTTCCCTACTATTTGGACCATTCTGGATCGATCTACAATGTTCGTTTGGCCAAATTCAACTCACAGAAAGAGTTATAGTCATTCTAAGAGCAAAATGACTATAGAAAATACACAAACACTCATCCTGAAGCTGACCAAAGACAACTATGATAGTTGGTGCATCAGAATGAAGGCATTCCTTGGTTCATAAGAGTGTATAGACATTGTGCAATATGGTTATGACGAACTAGAGTCCAAAGAATCAGAAGATGCTCTACAAGAGGCACATAAACAAGTCCTCAAAGCCAATAGAAAAAATGACAACAAAGCAAAAACCATCATTTATCAAGGTCTTGATGAAGCCACATTTGAGATCATTTCTTCCGTAGAAACATCAAAAGAAATATGAGAGGCTCTCCAATAAAAATACAAAGGTGCTGACAGAATCAAGAAGATTCATCTTCAATCTTTATGATGTGAATTTGAATTATTACAAATAAAGTCCTCAAAATCTATTTCTGATTATCACACAAGAATTATGGTGATAGTCAATCAGATGAGAAGAAATGGAGAAGCCCTCACAGATGCTCGAATTACTAAGAAAATTTTAAGATCCCTAGATCCAAAATTTAATTTTGTTGTTGTCGCTATTGAAGAGTCCAAAGAAGTGGACAAGTTGACAGTGGATAAGCTTATGAGTTCTTTGCAAGCTCATGAGCAAAAGAATGTAAAAAGAAATGGAGATAAGGTAATTGAGCATGCCTTACAAGCAAAGTTATCTCTTAAAGACAGATATGAGCAAGGGGAGACTTCAACAGGTGGATATACCACTCGAGGAAGAAGTCAACAAACACGAAGAGGATTTCAGTGATTTCAAGACAAAGCTTCTTGGAATACAGGTTCTAGAGGAAGAGGTGGTAGAAACACCATCAGAGAAGGTCGAGGATAACAAGCATTCACTCCTAGAGGAAGAGGAGGCGGTTACAATAACCGTGATAAGAGAAATATTCAATGTTATAATTACAATTAATTTGGGCACTACAGCACTGAATGTCAAAAGAAAGCTCCATTAGAGATACGTGAGCAAGTCAACTATACAGAAAATGATGCCAATAGTAGAGGACTGGCTACATTATTTGTCCAACAAGGACATGGTGAGAATCAAGGGAATATTTGGTATCTTGATTCTAGAGCCAGCAATCATATGTGTGGCCAACAAGATCTATTTGGTGATCTAGATGAGGCCATACAAGGTCTAGTCACTTTTAGAGATACCTCAAAAGTTCCATTCAAAGTTAAAGGCAATATCCCAATCAAGTTGAAGAATGGCGATCATAGCTACATCGCTGATGTCTACTATGTCCCAGCCATAAAGCAGAACTTGGTGAGCATAGGTTAACTTTTGGAGAAAGGGTATACACTTTTTATGAAGAATTGTCATCTGACAATTACAAACTACAATGGGAGATTAATTGCCTATATGAAAATATTCAAGAATAGGATGTTTTCGTTAAACATCCAATATGATACAGCAAAGTGTTTGAGTGTCATCACCAACAGTGAAGAATGACTTTGGCACCTGAGGCTTGGACATCTGAATTTCACAAGTCTGAAGATGCTAGGAAGCAAGAAGATGGTCAAAGGTATACCTCATATTGATCATCCAGAAGAAGTCTGTGAGAGTTGTGTCCTTAGCAAACATCACAGATTCAGTTTTGCCAAAGAAGTCAACTGGAAAGCAAACAAGCCACTGGAGTTAGTGCACACAGATGTGTGTGGTCTAATAAAGCCTATATCAAATGGACAAAATAGGTACTTCCTCACTTTCATTGATGATTTAGCAGAAAGACTTGGGTATATTTTTTGAAGAGGAATTTAGAAGTGTTCGACTGTTTTAAAGATTTTAAAGCAATTGTTGAGAAGCAAAGTGGTTATAAGATCAGAACCGTGAGATCTGATCAAGGTGGAAAATATACAGCAAATGACTTTGAAGCCTTTTGTACACAACAAGGCATCAGACATAAGACAACACCAGCTTATACACCACAGCTGAATGGTGTAGCTGAGAGAAAGAATCGAACTATTCTTGACATAGCAAGAAGTCTACTCAAAGCAAAGAAGCTGCCCAAACAATACTAGACTGAAATTGTATCATATACAGTGTATTTACTGAATCGCTGCCTAACCAGACGTTTGTAAGCTGTCACTCCATAAGAAGCATGGAGTGGTCACAAACCAAGTGTTACTCATCTTCAAGTTTTTGGTTGTGTGGCATATGCAAAGATCCCAGATGCAAGAAGAACCAAACTTGATGATAAAAGCGAGAAATGCATCTTTATCGGATACAATGATTGAAGGATAAGATACAAGCTATATAATCCTATCACAAAGAAGGTAATTATGAGTAGAGATGTTATCTTTGAAGAAGATAAAACTTGGCAATGAAATGATGACCAAAAAGCAGTTAAATGGATCAGCACTGATTTGATCCTTGAAGATGAAGAAATACCAACAGTACTTGCAGAAGGTCTGATAGTACCAGAAGATGAGCCACAAAGTCTGGTACACAGATTTCCTGTATTCAATAGGAGAAACACACTAGAATCATCGAAGGATTAGAAATCTAGAAGAGTTGTATAACGCCACTCAAGTCAAAGAAGATACAACTCTATTTTATTTCTTTACAGATAGTGACCCACTTAGTTTCAATGAAGCTATCATAGAAGAAAAGTGGATAAAAGCAATGGATGAAGAAATACATGTCATTGAGAAGAATGATACCTGGAAGCTGACTTATCTACCAGAAAATAAGAAAGCAATAAGTGTCAAATGGGTCTATAAGACAAATAAGAATGCAAAAAAAGATGTGTAAAGATACAAAGCAAGATTAATGGCGAAAGGCTACAAACAGAGATAAGGTATTGATTATGGAGAAGTGTTTGCTCTAGTAGCCCAGCTAGAGACAATCAGATTGATAATCTCACTAATAGTATAACATAGATGGAAGATCTATCAACTTTATGTGAAGTCAGCATTTCTGAATGGCTTCCTAGAAGAAGAGATTTATGTTGAACAACCACTTGGATACATTGATGCTGAAAATAAAGGCAAAGTATACAAGTTGAAGAAAGCCCTTTACGGTTTGAAGCAAGCTCCACGTGCTTGGAATACTAGAATTGACAGGTATTTTCAAGATAATGGATTTGAAAAATATCCATATGAATATGCAATTTATGTGAACAAAAAAGCATATGGCAGCATATTATTTGTGTGCCTATATGTTGATGACTTGATATTCACCGGTAACAATCCTACCATGTTCAAAGACTTCAAGAAAAGCATGATACAGGAGTTTGGCATGACAAACATTGGTCTGATGGTATATTTTCTTGGTTTAGAAATGGTGTAGAAAGAAGAAGGGATTTTTGTATCGCAAAGTAGTTATGCCAAAGACATTCTTGAAAAGTTCAAGATGGAAAGCTACCAAAGACATTCTTGAAAAGTTCAAGATGGAAAGCTGCAATCCGGTATCAACTCTAGTTGAGAATGGAGTGGAATTGAAGAAGAGTAAAGTTGGAAATGTTGATCCAACTTACTTCAAAAGCTTAGTAGGAATCTTAAGGTACTTGACATGTACCAGACCAGATATACTCTACGGAGTCGGACTGATCAGCAGATATATAGAGACACCAGACCAGTCTCACTTGAATGCAGCTAAGAGAATTCTTCGTTACATCAAAGGCATAATAAATGAAGGTATGTTTTATACCTCAAGCAAAAACTTCAATCTTGTTGGCTACTCGGATAGTAATTAGGGTAGAGATCTGGATGAAAGGAAAAGCACAACAGGGTTTGTCTTTTTCATGGGAGATACATCTTTTACATGGTCATCCAAGAAGCAATCGATAGTAACACTATCAAGCTATGAAGCTGAGTATGTTGCTGCCAACTCAGTTGTATATCATTTAATATGGTTAAGGAATATATTGAAGCATTTGGAATTTCCTCAAGAAAATCCTACAGAGATTTATATTGATAATCGATCAGCGATTGCATTGGTAAAGAACCTGGTGATTAGTACTTAAAAGTGCATTTTTATCATGGTTTTATATCATCATTTTGCACTTGAAGTATCAATAACTACTTAACTAAAGCATGTTTTATAATAATATATCTAATAATATAAGATATCTTTAATTTGTGGTAAATGTTCATTTTAAATGCAGGCCTATCACATAAATGAAAGGATTGATTGATGACTTTAAGAACTTAAATTGCAAGGGCAAAAAGATGACCAAAATTAGAAAAGAGATGTCGGTGCAATCCAAACCGGAATACTGTTCGGTAATTGGATCATATCTGGAGTTCTAGATCTCAGATTTAGGTCCACTTTATATGGATGGAAAGGTAAGACATAGGTCTACAACTTTCTTATGGAGCCCAAGATCTAGAAAGGTCATTTTCAAGTTCAAATTGTAGCAACAACAAAGAAGCCTGAATCTATCCTCTAGCCCGAGCACTGTTCAGTATTTTGGCCATATCTGGAGTTCTAGAAGTCCAAATGAGCTGAATTGTTTACACAAGACTGCTGAGACAATTTCCTACAACTTTCATGTTTGCAAGTGGTTCCAATTTTGACGTTATCAATGACGTTTTGGGCAGACAAGAGAAGATAAGGATTGTCACCAAGTCAAAAGTTGGCCACCCACTCATCAATTAGTCATCAAATCAATAGTTCCCAATTTTGGCCTATAAAAGGAGGCATTTGCCATGCATTTAGGCATCTTGGTTTCCAGATCAAGATCATGCTCTTCCTTTCTCTCTTTGTATTTTTTGTAATGTTTATGCTTTGCTTTCATTAATATTAAGTTTATGCCTTTCATTTCCTTTCCTTTACTTAGTTAACTTTTATGTTCTTATTTTGTTTATCTATTTTTCTTTCTTTCATTATGTCTAGCTAAGTTAATTATGTCAAGGTGAAAAGGTTACACTAATGGTGTAAGAATAAGTATAATGTAAACTTAATATGGACTTTAATGTTTGATACTAACATGTTTTATATTTGTTATCTTGTTCACTCTTTAATACTTTGCTTGTTAAATGACTAATCTTGATTTATGTTGTATAACACTTGGTACAACAAATGCTTGACACTTTCATAGCCCATAATGTATGGTATAACCGACACCTGAGCTATGAAAGGAACTTGATTTGTTGTTAACATAAGTTATAATCATGAATGCTTGACGATATTTACAAGTATTAGCATTAATTGAATAAGATGACTAATGTAATCATGTTAACAATATATAATCTGATTGGAACCTCCTTTGTGTGTGGTTTCCAATTCAATAATAAGAGTTTATACTATACTTGTTTGATATACCATTAGTGAAACCTCTAACCTTGACATTTGTTATTATCATTGTTTAATCGTTACATTAATATTTCATCTCAAAGTTCTCATCTTCTTCTTCTTCTTCTTCTTCTCTTTCTCTTTCTTTATTATTATTATTATTATTACTACTATTATTATTATTATTATTATTATTATTATTATTATTATTATTATTATTACTATTACTACTACTACTACTATTATTATTAGTATTATTATTGCTTCTATTATTGTTGTTGTTGTTTATAATTATTGTTTATAATTGTTGTTTATAATTTGTACAATTAACCTCCCTGTGGTTCGACTCCGGTCTTGCCGGGTTATTTATTACTTCGACACTCCTGCACTTGGGAGAAGACATCAATCTTTTCGTCGTGTCAGCTTCCTTCAAGGATGTGTGCGAATTTATTATTCCTAGAAAATAATTTTGGTTATTTACCACTCCAAGTTTTCTTTATCCAAATATTAACGTGAATAATAACAAGCTATTCCCATTAAATATTTTAGAAATTCATCCTTTTAGGATTTCTTTATCCAAACATAAATGGTAAATAATAGATGAATTCCCTACAAAATAAGATTTTATATTTTTTTAAATATTGGCCAATACCCTTTAGAGTTTTACAAACATGTTGTAAAATCCAGAAATGCAAGAAAATAATTTGTGTTTAAGAATTCCATGCAAAAACACGTTTTTCAAAACTTCAAAACTTCAAAAACACTCTTTTTTATAAACAGAAACGTTCAAAACATGTTAGGATATTGGCCGTATGCAATACATAAAAAAATTATATTTTTTTCAAAAAACCACAAGCATCATAGTTAATCGTAATTAAAGACAACAAACCATGCGCATATATTCTCAAAGCTTACAAGAAAACTGAAAAGTCCAAAAAAAAACGGCTCTTTGAACCCAACCCGGTTACTGGCCCAAACTAGTAACCGATTCTGCCACAATTGCTTGCATATGCATGCTATAGTGGCTAAGTAATTAAATTTGC